ACTTGTTTTGTTTATATATTGCAATATATAATTTTTATAACTTTATTCTTATTTTATACATTAACGTGAAAAATCATATTCTGCAAATACATAATGTTAAAATATTTTATTAATATAAATATGATATATGTTTCATAAAAGACTGTATATCTCAGAAAAAATATCGCGTCGAGCGAAAGCAACACGCCGCTAGTCGACTTAGTCGCGTGGAGCGAAAGCATTCTGGAAAGCATTTTCGCTGCCAACGCTTGGCAGAAGAAACGGTGCGAGCGTTTAAAACCGGTTTTTACGCTAGGCTTGGTGGGAAAGAGATACAAGACATAGGTCCGCCCACTTCTACCGTCGACAGCCGAGCGCACACGGACACGTGACGTCAGCGGGTCTCGGTTGTGTGCGTGTGGAGCTCTCCGGGGAAAACTGGCAGCTCTGCACGAAACGGCAACCGAGCGAGAGAGAGAGCCAAATAGAATTAAGTGAGCGAAAAGTGAGGATCCGCAGGCGCGGTGGAAACGGATCAAATCGAATGAGCGCGATAAATGTTTGTAGAGCGATGATATTTGCAGAATAATGCACTTTATTGTCAATAATTAATTAAACGAATTAACAAAAGTTCGCTGGCGATTAAGCCCGTCGAATACGTTCACGCGACAAGCGTCTAAATCTCGCAATAAGAAAAGATTCGAGAAACAACTGATTTTGAAGCCCGAAACTAAGCTTTCGTACGCTTGAGACGAAAAATGAGAAAACTAATTAATAGCACTCAGCGACTTGAAGCGTCTTCTCACTCGGAATTGAAGAAAGCTTCTGGTTTTGCAAAAATGACCGATTGAAACGCCTGTCCGGTTGATCTGCTTGCGACCGCCTTTTTTACATCGGAGAGAGGGCCAGATGGTCGATGATGATTCGTGCAGACCTAAACTCAAGCGCCAGAGAGAGGAACGCTATCTCTGATGATTTTGAAATTTTCGGCTTTTCAACGCTTTTCTCGTGGCCTTCGCTGTTAGAAGTAAAAATAAAAACAATAGCAGCGGCTCACTCGAGATTGTTTACCGAAGCATGTTTTTCCGCTGCGAACGCTAAACATGGTCATATTCTGCCCGTTACTATGAATTTGTTACAACGTATACGATAACGAATTATAAAGACGAAATTATAGAAATATATGACGAAAAGAATTATAAAAACGACATAACGCACGCAGCGCGAAGCTCGATCGTTAACATACCGCCCGATGATTGAAATGATCGTTTCGAAAGGATGATGGTAATTGTACATCGCAGCAAACAAAAAAATTTTATAGAAGCTATTTTACAGATAGAATGATCATTTGATGGAGGCGATCAGTAGTTATCTCAAGAACTAGCGCGTTCTAATTTGTCGACTCCATGTCGATCGGTAGGAGACATATTTTTACTAGCGGTCGTTTGTACTCGCCGGAGATGGTTTTGACTGTGACAACACGCATGAGGTTGTCAGGGCCCGCATGGCACTCTAGAATGCGCCCTAGTTCCTATTTGCACGGCGGGAGCAATGAGTTTTTTAGCAGTACTAATTTGCCGACTCGGACAGAATCTTTGGCTACTTTTCGCCACTCACTCGTTGTTGAAGCGTATTTACATAATCATTTTGCCAAAGTTTCCAAAATCGCTCCGTCAGCTGTCGCACTAGCTGCCATCGGGACAAACGATTCTCGTTGATTTCCAGTACTGATTGTTCCGGAGGCGTAGTCAAAGCAGATCCTATTAAAAAGTGGCCTGGCGTGAGCGGCTCGTAATCGTCGACAGTATCAGTAAGCGGGGCGACAGGCCGAGAATTTAGACATGCTTCGATGTTACAGAGCACGGTAGCGAATTCTTCGAAGGTCAAAGTGTGAGACCCAACTATCCTACGGAAGTGGTGTTTTACGCTTCGGACACCTGCCTCCCAGAGCCCGCCGAAATGTGGAGCCGATGGAGGAATAAAATGCCATGTTACGTTATCCGTGGCCGTGCGATTTAGAAATTCAGGCTCGCGAAGGGCCGCTCGGAAGGCCATAGATAACTCGCGCTCGGCCCCCACAAAAGTAGTTCCGTTGTCGGAGTACATGGACTCTAGAAGTCCTCGTCGTGCGCAAAATCGAGAGTAAGCTCCTAGAAATGCCGAGGTGGCATAGCCCTCGACGAGGTTCTAGGTGGATAGCGCGAGTCGCCATACATATGAAAACGGCAATGTACGCCTTGCGTGATTTAACGCCGCGGTCGGACATCGCTCGAATTGAGACCGGACCGGCGTAATCAACACCGCAATGCAAGAACGCGCGCGCGAAAGGCGCGACTCGCACCGTCGGCAAGTCGCCCATCAGCTGCGTTTGCGTCGCCGCCTTTTCTCGAGTGCAGACTATGCACTGATTTATCACCGCTTTTACCACGCTTTGAGCTCGTATTTTCCAGAATTCGCGACGCAATGTTGCGAGCGTGAATTGAGTGCCGGCGTGAAGGGATCGCAGATGAGCGTGATGAGCTAGGAGCGTCACCAGAGGATGCGACGCGAGAATGACGGGATGTTTGCGCGGAAGGGCAATGAGAGCGTTGGACAACCGCCCGCCAACGCGAATTAATTTATCTTTGCCCAGAAAAAGAGTGAGAAAGAAAAGTCGGCTCTTTGAGGACAGGGCCTTTTGATTTTGTAGCGCCTTTCGATCTACTGGAAATAATTTCTTCTGAACGCGCTTAGCCAGAAATCTCGCGCGGTTCGGCATTCGTTCGCCGAAAGGGCGGATGGAGCTTCATTGATCGTTACCTGATGCGTCGCCCGGTTACGAAGTCGACGATCGAAGCGCATGATGTACGCGGTAACGCGTATGAGTTCAGGCTATGAGGAGTAGCGTTTCGATAGATCCCATGGCTCCGGCGGATTTACGACATGAGCGGTGGCGCAAAGTCGCTGTTCGAAAGGCGCTTCTAACGAAGAGTCAACCAGTGCGGGCCAGTCAGATGCCGGAAGACGCAACCACGTTGGTCCCTGCCACCAAAGTTTGTGGGTAGCGAGCTGGCTACCGAGAATTCCGCGAGATGCGCAATCGGCAGGGTTGTCCCCGGTTGGAACATGTTTCCAGGAGGCAAATGGAATCCGGGATTGCATTTCAGACACGCGATTTGCCACGAAAGTCTTCCATCTCGACGACGGTTGACTCACTCACGCAAGCACGACGGTTGAATCCGTCCAGCAATGACATGAAGCTGTGGTGAGACGGAGAGAGTTACGCACGAATTCCATCAACCGAGACAGAAGGACGGCCGCGGCTAGCTCCAACCGAGGAATACTTAATGATTTGATCGGCGCGACTTTCGATTTTCCGACAAGCAACGCGGAAGTTATCTCCCCAGAGATGGATGTGAGCCTAAGATAAACGGCGGCGGCGTAAGAAGTGGTAGCGCGTCAGAAAAGCCGTGAAGCTCGCATTCCATTGTATCGGATCCTCGCTGTATCCAGCGAGCGAGTCGCTGCCCGTTTAGGTCGACCAGCGACGTTTTTATGGACTCCCACTGGCTTACCAATGTTAATGGAATAGTTTCGTCCCAGTCCACTTTAAGCTGCCACAATTTTTTCAGAAGGATTTTGGCTGAAATTGTCACGGGCGTGCTCCAACCGAGTGGATCGAACAGCTTCGTGATGGTGGATAAGATCGCGCGTTTTGTGTTTGGAATCGAGAGAGGAAATGACACGCGAAATTCGAAGACGTCCGACGCCGGATTCCAGCTGATACCGAGAATTTTTATGTGCTCATTAGTTTGTAGAATTTTAGAGCAAGCTAACCCGTGATTTTCGACGGCGATGTCGCTCAATAATTTTGACGAGTTACTGACCCATTTCCGCAATTCGAACTGGCCCCGAGCTAACAGTGCGCACAGCTGTTCGCGGATTTGTCTAAGCATTGGAATGTCGTCCGCCCCGAAGAGGACATCGTCGACGTAGATATGATTTTGGAGCACCGAGACCGCCAAGGGAAACGCATCTCCTTCGTCTTGAGCGAGCTGACGAAGCACGCGAAGTGCTAAAAAGGGCGCCGAAGCCGTACCGTATGTCACCGTGAGCAGCTGATACGCTTGTACGCTCTGGTCGTTATCACGGAACCACAAGACTCGCTGGTAGTCGACGTCGCGAGGATCCACTCGTATTTGACGATACATTTTAGCGATATCGGCAGCATAAACGTAGCGAAACTGTCTCCATTGTAGAATTACCGCTGCTAAGTCGGTCTGTAATTTCGGACCCGCGAGCAAATGATCATTTAGCGTCGATCCATTTCCAGTGCGGCTCGAGGCGTTAAACACGACGCGCAAATGCGTGGTAACGCTGCTCTCGCGAATAACCGGGTGATGCGGAATGTAAACGCATTGCGCTGAGTCGGGCCCGGGAGACGATATGGTTCGCATATGTCCCATTCGCTCATACTCGCTAAGAAAATCGCTGTATTCCGCTTTTAATTGCGGATTTTCATTGAAGCGTCGCTGCAATCCTTGCAACAAGCGTTTGGCGGTCCTATGCGAGCTTCCGATTTCGATCGGAGGGCCTCGCTTGAATGGGAGACGCACGATGTACCGACCGTTCGAATCGCGCGAGTGCGTCGACACAAAATGCTCTTTGCACCGCTGCTCCTCGGGGCTGAGTAATGTCTGTCGCGGCAGCTCCTCGATTTCCCAAAAATTCTGGAAAAGCTTATCGAGTGATAGATTGTTTGCGCAATGCTGGACGGTGACGTTACGTGAGTTCTCACGAGTCGCCGTCGAGCCCGAGATGATTCATCCAAAGACGGTATTTTGCGCCACAGGTTGGCCGCTTTCGCCCTTTCGCACGCCCTCGAGAATCAGATTACCATAAAGATCGGCGCCTAAGAGCAGATCAATTGGATCTGCGCTGAGAGGATCCGGATCCGCGAGAGAAAGATCCGCGAGATGATCCCAATTGACGGGAGAGACCGCAGGCGACGGTGCGTAGCTCGTCAGCGACTTCATTATAGACGCGCAAATCTCGAGAGCCGGCTTCGAGTTGTCGCAGGGAGAAAAAATTATGTTTGCGGCGAAACGACAAGTGCCAGCGTCGAAGCCTCCGACGCCGGAAATGGCAACCGGTGCGCAAACGCGGTGCACTTTTAGGATCCGCGCAAGTCGTTCGGTCATAAAAGTTATTTCCGAGCCTTGGTCGATTAATGCTCGAACGACGATGGCACGACCTGATGCTGTCCGAGCCTGGACTTTAGCGGTTGCCAGTGACGTGAGGTCGCGAAAGAGTTTTGGTCGTCATATTTAATGCAGTTACAGCAGCAGTCTCAGCGGTCTTTGCTTGCGCATCGGAGCGGGCTGGCTGCTTCGACTGACGGAGAATCTGCATTGAGGTGTAGCATCGAGTGATGCTTTTGCTGACACGTGCGACAGGCGTATTTGCTGGGGCACGATTTTACTGCGTGTTTGGCGCTCAAGCAGTTCATGCAACTGTTGCTGCTTTTGATGATTTCCGCACGTTGTATCGGGCTTTTCTTAATAAATTGCGGACACTTGTTTATAAAGTGAGCCGATTTGCACAGTGGGCATGAGATTGTAGACGTTGCGGACGCCGTCGCGCTCGTTGCCTTTTGCGACCGTGCTAGTTTTGTAGCGCTTGGAGGCGCCAATTCCTCGAGAGCGCGAGAGGCGATGAAGCGATCGAGATCCGCGTATGACGGAATAGCAGTTTCGTTCCCCCCCCCCTTTGAGCTTTCATGCTTTTCGCGTAGCAGGATCGAGTTTTTGCGAGACGGTATACACGAGGAGATTGTTCAGAATGTCTTCGGATGATCGCTTGAGTGTTTTTAGCGACGCGATAGCTTGATTTGCTTTATCTCGCAGTTCGTTTAATTCTGAAGCTGACTCGCGTAAAACACTCGGGAGATTACACAGCGACGCGGCATGAATATCGACCAAGCGACGTTTATTCTCATAGCGCGATACAAGAGTTTTTCAAGCGATCTCGAAGTTGTCGGCTGTTACTGGAATGTTCTTAATCGCGTCCAGAGCGCGCCCGGTCAAGCTCGAAAATAAGAAGTGCATACGCGCGAACGCGGACAAGTCCTTATTGTGGATAATGAGCAACGAAAAACGATCGTGAAAACTCTCCCATTCGTCGTACTTGCCCGAAAACGGTGGAATGCTGATGGGTGGTAGATGAGACAGCGAAAAGGCTGATGAAGACCCACTGGTGCGATGATTTGCCGAGGTGGAAGTCATCGGCGGTTCGATCTCCTCGAGGCGCTCCGCCATGTAGTCCAGGGTCTCCTGATAAACGTCTTCGTGCGCGTCAAACAGCTGACTCCGGAAGTAGTCGACCGACTCTCTTTGCTTCTGGCACGGCTTGCAGCAACGATGAATGCGTCTCAATGCACTAAGCCCATGTCTCTTTCAGGGCGGACACTCGCGATCGTATTTTTGCGGGTGTGTAATTATTTTTCCCGACCTTTCGAAAATTATCAAGTGACCGGGAGATTGAATGAAACAATGCTTGCTGTTTCGCTAAAAGTTCACTCATGGTGATATGCGAATTGTTACCCTTTGTCCAATCACTTTAACGCGCCACACTGATTGCCCTTAATCCGGCTCGAAGGACCAATTTTATGTTCGCGATCGAAATGAGACTCCGATCGGAACAGAGAGGTGCCGGGTGCGCTCAGAGAGAGCGAAGGGTCAGATTGGCGGCGAGGAAAGAACGGAGCGAGCAACGAAAGGAGCGAGAAGGAGAGAGAACGCTGGCGGTCGCACGAAACGGCAACCGAGCGAGAGAGAGAGCCAAATAGAATTAAGTGAGCGAAAAGTGAGGATCCGCAGGCGCGGTGGAAACGGATCAAATCGAATGAGCGCGATAAATGTTTGTAGAGCGATGATATTTGCAGAATAATGCACTTTATTGTTAATAATTAATTAAACGAATTAACAAAAGTTTGCTGGCGATTAAGCCCGTCGAATACGTTCACGCAACAAGCGTCTAAATCTCGCAATAAGAAAAGATTCGAGAAACAGCTGATTTCGAAGCCCGAAACTAAGCTTTCGTACGCTTGAGACGAAAATGAGAAAACTAATTAATAGCACTCAGCTTGAAGCGTCTTCTCACTCGGAATTGAAGAAAGCTTCTGGTTTTGCAAAAATGACCGAGTGAAACGCCTGTCCGGTTGATCTGCTTGCGACCGCCTTTTTCACATCGGAGAGAGGGCCAGATGGTCGATGATGATTCGTGCAGACCTAAACTCAAGCGCCAGAGAGGGGAACGCTATCTCTGATGATTTTGAAATTTTCGGCTTTTTAACGCTTCTCTCTTGGCCTTTCCTGTTAGAAGTAAAAATAAAAACAATAGCAGCGGCTCACTCGAGATTGTTTACCGAAGCATGTTTTTCCACTGCGAACGCTAAACATGGTCATATTCTGCCCGTTACTATGAATTTGTTACAACGTATACGATAACGAATTATAAAGACAAAATTATAGAAATATATGACGAAAAAAATTATAAAAACGACATAACGCACGCAGCGCGAAGCTCGATCGTTAACACTGTATATACTTACTTGTTTCTGTAAAGTAGACCTTAATAGTTTATAGATCTCATCAGTTAATAAATTTCTTAATGCAAGTGATTGTAGTATGAAATAAATGTCTACTGGAACAGCATTATTGAACTATTACCTGTGTATTGATGAACGGTGGATTATGCAGTGGTTACTATATATACTTGCAAACACTTAGAGTGGGTATTAAATAAAGTTTATTGTTATTAATAAGGATATTATACACGGTTATAAATAAATTACAAGGCTTGGGTGATTGTAAGAGGTGTAATAATTGTCTCTCTTCTGTCTCCTTCTATCTTGCACACATCTGAGATAGGATGATTTGAATTGCTGTACTGGAACAAATAATGGTCCTTGAGAATGATGGACAACTATGTTATAATAATTGATATGATTTTTTTATTTAATTAATAAATGAACAAACAATAATATATAAACAAATACATAAATATATAAATGGATGTTTATAGAATAAATATGTCTCTATTTCAAACTGACATTGAACGTCATAGTGATATCTAATTAGACATTTATTCTGATTCATGGTTAGTCTGATTATAATTGAATCTGTAATTGTTAATCTGTAAATAATTGTGTTCATATGATATGATCTGTATATTACAACAAACTACTTTGGCTTAGTATTGATAGTTTGAGCAAGTGTTTTGAAAATGCTCTGTACTGAACTTATTAGAATAGATTATTACTTGGGATTATTAGTAGAACATTAATTAATTGATTGACTTATTTGAATTGGTTCTTAGACTTTATTATGTGTGAATATTATTATATGAATGAAGTGCACCACTATTATTATTGTAGATTTTGTCATTGACTGTTAGTGAATGATATTGTTCTCGGTGGACTTTTAGTTATATCTATTAGAGTAGGACAGCTACCCAGAATAAACAAATATATATACAAAATAAATAATGACAAACAAGCTTCAGAGCTAGAGCTAGTTAGACATGCTCTATTTATTACTTTATATCACATAATAATTAATTAGACGTTTCGACCATTCGGATGTGGTCATCTTTAGTACAATACTTAAAACTATCTTCTAAAACATATTACAAATATATATACACTATCTCAACAAGAGAAGGACATTCTTGTTTTAAATAAAACCAGGCTAACAATTATGGACATGAGTAAGAAAATAGATAAAAACGCCCCGGCTTCGGATACCGGGGACCGGCACGTGGGGGGTATCGTCCCTGCCTTCTGCGGGTCGTCATCCTGCGAAGGGATGGCCTCCACGTCTGCGGCAAGCGTAGAGAGTCGAGCTGTTATTGCCAGCATTGAAAGATTAAGCACGGCTATCACTATTGTGCTGAGAAGAGGATCCAGATCGGGCTCTTTGAGGGGAAGTGAGGTCGACTCTACTCTGGCATCTGAGGACGTGGAGCTGCCTTGTTCGGTGAGTTCTGCCCCCGATGCCTCTGATTTCTGTGGAGCGGAATACTCTGATTCGGAGGGTAGAGTCTTATCTGGCGGGTCGTCCGAGCATCTGAAAAAGAAGATAAGATTAAATCTACAGGGAGTAGAAAAAGAAGGAAGCGGGGTTCCCCCCTTAAAGACGAAGAGCTTGAAAAAGAGAGGTATGCCCCGAGTTTCTCTTTCGATAGTAGAAAAAGTTGAAAATGAAATGGCTGGCGTCAAATTGAAACACGCTACCTAGCTTAATTTAAAGATTAAAGATATGATTGATGAAATAGAGTCAATTAGGAAGAGGTCGACCAACATTAAAGAGTCATTTAGTGGACAAATTAAGGTGTTCCTAGAGGTCATACGTAGAACCAGCAACCTTCTATCTATCAAGGCCTCATCAAAGGAGGACCCAGAATATTGGAAGGCGAGGTTCTATAATATGGAAAAATTAGCCATGGACAATAAATGCAAAGCAGATTCTTTGGAGGTCGAATTGTAGGAGGTTAAAAGAAGAGAACAAGTGCAGGCCTCGTATGATCTGACTCACACCGTAACCCCAAGTATGGGGCCGGTGGCCGGTGCTTGCATTGAGCTTGCACGGGCCGCGAGGGTGGTAAAACCTTTATAAAAAGACCCGGGTTGGTCGGACTCGTCAGCCATGGTAGGCAACCGACCTAGGAGAAGGCAACTCTGAGAACAAACCACAGGATAGGAAGAGGGGGAGGTGCGCTGCTCTTCCCCTCGGTTTTACCCGGACTCTGCGCACTCGGCCGGGGGTCGTCCTTCCCCGCGCTCGCGCTCATCATGTACACACACGTTCACACACACACTCTTGGCCCTCGCACTTTCTGGGCGCCTTCGCCACTGCGAAGCTGCCCGGAAGTTGGGGCCTATGCATGCATCCGGCGGGGCCCCGCGCATCGTGATGATGCGTGGGATACCACTTCCCGCCTGCATACACTCACACATTCATTTATCAATCATATA